ATCATTTCACTGATTCTAACTTACTTTTTTATCAAGAATGTTGAGAGTTTCAGTGCTGTTTATAGTCAGAGAATCAATCAGAGTCAGAAGATCAGAGAAGAAAGAGAAAGAAGAATTAATAACAGTAGTAGAGATATTAGTAAGAGAGATAAAAAGAGAATTATTACTATTATTAAATTTCTCATCACTGCTACTACTATCACTGACTATAACTGAATTCTTATTAAGATAATCTATAAATTTCTGAATATACTTTATTATTTCATATATCTTAATAATAATATAACTAGCTTCAGTATTAATATTATTTATTAAATTTATAAGATTCTTTATCACTGATTTTTATTCTTTAATACAACTGACTATCATTCTTAAAAGCTCATGATACACTTCAAGCTTGATAGTTTTAATATTAAGTTTTATCTTTTTAATTATGATTTTCTTCTTTTCTATGATAACTTTTTTCTTTTCAATTTCTAATTTTACTCTTTTAATATTTAACTTAATCTTTTTAATCTTGATTTTAACTTTTTCAGTAGTACTGATAATAATATTCAGAGCTTTCAGAATAATAGTAATACTCTTCATATATTAAGCTTTTACTTTCTATCAGTGAGTTTTAACTTTCTTAATCTATTTTAAAAGATTCTTCACTAATTTTAATATAGCTCTCTTTATTATTTTCTTAAAATTATTTAATATAGAAAGATAAAAGTGATAAATTTAAATCAGATTATTAACTTATTCTTTTAATTCTTCAGAGATAATTATATTTCTCTTTTTCTCATAATTATAATTTATATAAGACTTTGAGCTTCTCTTCATCTTATCACAAGCAGTATTCAAATGATGAGAAAAAATATACTTAATATAGTACTTATATATTATTTATTTATCAGACTACTTTATCAGAGTATTTAGATAGCTACTTATCTCTTTCTTCTGAGCTTTTACAGCAGTGATATAGATACACTTAAGAGTATTATCAGTCATTTTTACTATTACTGCTGCTATTATTACTGATATTACTGATATTAATATAATAGATGAATCACTGATATTCTTGATATACTGTGAATAAGATATCTTTGAAATTAGAACTTTTCTTATTAAAAGCTTTTTATTATAACTGACAGAATACTAATCTTACTAAAGATGAGAGAGAGAAGAGTGAGCTGAAAATAATCTTCATAGTATAATATAATTATAAGAAGAAGAAAGAAAGAAAGAAAGAAAGAAAAAGAAGATAATAAGTTATTCTCTCTATATATATTATTAATTCATCTTTATAGATTATTATATAATAAATGTGAATACTTTCATATTTCACTCTTATATAATTAATACATCTGACATATTTCATCTATATCTTATATTCAGAATGAATACTCTTTGTATAGACTACCACTGAATAAATTATAGCTATTTTAAATATAAAATCATTTCTATTAACTAGAAATATGTGTTTAATACACTGTCAGAAATATATCTACAGAATTCAAGATTTATAAAAAGATTTCTCAGTACAGTGACATTGATAAATTCTCTGCAGTCATGACTATATAAATTAAAAGATAGAGAATATAGCAACTTTCTTCAGTGAATATCAAGATAAGTATATTCTAATTATGTATATTAAAGTATATATTAATTAACTTATATATAAAACTCATGAAAAAATAAATATATTGAATAGAAATAGATTGTGTTAAAAATCTCTATACTAATCTGTCTTCTGCTGAAAGTGTCTCTGAAAATTTGATCTTTTTTTATATCTTCTTTCACACATCTTTTATCAGATGTCTCTTTTTCACTATCAGAGTATTCTGAATTATCTCAGTAAAGTCATCTCTGATAATTTACTGATATTTAAGAATATCACTCATAAGATCTCAGAATGTCAGAATATTTTATCATTGTAGTATAGCTGCAGTGAAATTTTCATTTATATCAGTATTATTAAATATTGTAATCTGAGTTGTAAGATTTGTATATATCTCTATTTTTCAGAATCAGTTTCTAGTTTTTCAATCTGAAGTTTTCAATTCAATGTCTTTAACTAATGAATATTCAACTTAGATTTCATATATTATTATTCTTACTCAAAGAATTGATTAAAGTTAATTACTCTTCACACTCAGTAAAAAATCAGAAAGAACTTTTCAGCAGTAAATAAATTATAAAAGTATTCAAAGATAATTAATTCTTTATAACAGTTATATAATTTAATTATTACTGAACTTTCTCTGCTCTTTATCTTTTTCTGTTAAATATAATTCTATATTAATATATGATTAGCTAAGTTGATCAGAAAAGCTTAGATTTCTCTGAGATATCTTACTAAAAGAGTAGGAATTTCTCTAAGATTCTCTGCTAAAAAGTTGATATTTCTTATCAGTGATTTATCATAACTTATTCAGAGATTCAAGATATTTCACTGACAGCTCAAGATTTCTACTGACAGCTCAAGATTTCTTATCAGAGACTTGATATATTCTGTTGAAAAGTTAAGAATTCTCATTAGAGATTTAAGATATCTCACTGAAAAGCTGCTATTTTTACTAAAATCTAAATACTGAGTGAGAAGAATACTACTTATCTTCATTTCTTTTAGAGTTCAGAACTTCGAA